GCTTATTTTTAAAATGTGGTATTTTATTCTGTTAATCTGTATTTCTTGAAGTAGTTTAATATTTTTAATGTTTGGGGTCAATCTTTTTTTTTCTTTCTATGTAAGTTGAATTTTCCTTTTGCCTATTTTTCTAAATTTCTATTCATCAATTTTTTATTGATTTATAAAAAATCTTGATATATAAAAGATCATGACAGTCTAATATTAAAAAAAATGACCTCAATTCTTTGAAAATAGTCAGGGTCATGAAGTGACCAACTGTCTCAGTTTGTCTGAGACTGAATAGTGCTCCTTGGATATGAGATTTTTAAATGTTAAACAGGAAAGTTAGGCAACAAGTGATAAGTTCATTACCCTAACTGAGGAATGGTTCCAGTTTGTATCTTAAATGAAGCAGGATACAAAGGATGTGTATAATAATGTTCAGAGATAACTAGTGAAACTTGAATAGGTCTATAAAGAATATGTAGTATCATACCAATATTAATTTGTGATTTTTTAAAATAATTGAACTGTAGCTGTGTGAGAGAATATCTTGTTTTTAGAATATACAAGAGAAGGGGTGTAATGATGGGGTAAATTGACATAGTATCTGCAATTTACTCTCAAATATTGGAGGAGGGAAAATACCATAAAATCAACATGATAAGATGTCAACGTTTGGTAAATATGGAGAAAAGGCAGGTAAAAATTATTTTTACCATGTTTTGCAACTTTTTGTAGGTTTGAAATTATTTAAGACCATTTTTGGTGTGTGTGTGTGTGTGTGTGTGTGTGTGTGTGTGTGTGTGTTGAGGAGTGGTATTTGTTTGATGGTGGGGATTGAATCTCGGGCCTCATACATGGCCCCAAGTTCCTTTGCCATTGAGCAACACTATCAGCACTCAATATAAATATTTTATTAAAGGATATTAATTGTTATGTACTACAAATATTTCCCCTGTTTTATCCTTTGTGTCTTCATTTGTTTATATTGTGTAAGATTTTTTGTTTCTTTTATTGCTTAAAAATTTTAAATCATACTTCTTTAAAGTTTATCTCTCTGAGAGATGAATGTCCTCAACAGCAGGCATAGTTAAATTATTTTATTTTTTGTTCCTAGCACACTATCCCATAAATAACTTGATAAATTAGTAAATACAATCTTTTTTTTTTTGTCCTTTGTTTTGGTTCTTTTTTTTTTAAAGAGAGAGAGAGAGAGAGAAATAATTTTTTAATATTTATTTTTTAGTTGTTGGCGAACACAACATCTTTGTTTGTATGTGGTGCTGAGGATCGAACCCGGGCCACATGCATGCCAAGAGAGCGCGCTACCACTTGAGCCACATCCCCAGCCTTTTGTTTTGGTTCTTAAAAGGGGCTTCTTTAAAGATACATTTTTACATTATCTATCTCTAAACCTTCAGAGAATTTAATATTTTTATAGCTCATTAATGTACTGGTGATTTAGCATTCAGAATGACATTAATGACTACTTTATTTTCCCCTTAGGATAAATGGTTTCAGCACTATCTCTAAAGCAGGTCTCTATTTTCCAGAATTTTGAAATGCTACCTTTATTAGATACTGAAACTTGACATCCTCATTATGATCTATAACATACTATTGTATTCTATTTCAGTAACTTTTGTGTTGGAACTTTTTTCTTCAGAGAAGAAGAGTGGGAACAGGAAGGAAGGAAGGAAGAAAGGAAGGAAGGAAGAAAGGAGGGAATTAATTATTGAGAATGTAAACTTCATCCAGAGCCAGTCTGAAGTGATTTAAATCTTAATTACTAGTTTTTGTAATCTTGGGAAATTAACTTTTTATGCCTTAATTTCCTTTTCTGTATAATGAAGATAACAAATAACACATTCTTTTTTTATTGGTTGTTCAAAACATTACAATGCTCTTTGACATATCATATTCATACATTTGATTCAAGTGGGTTATGAACTCCCATTTTTACCACGTGTACAGATTGCAGAATCACATTGGTTACACATAGGATTTATTAAGAGATAAAATGAGTATGCAGAAAAATGCTGATGCACAGAAAGCATCATGAAGTTTTTCCTATATTATTTTGAGTAGCTGTATAATTACTTAATAATACTACATGTTTCTTGTTTTACCCCCTGTAGTTCAGCACTGTTTCTGCTCACTTTCTGTAGCCTAAATTTATGTCCTGACTCTATTTTCTGTTTTGATAATTTCTTCCTTGAAAATACTGTCCACTATCAAGGCTTTATCAGTTGAGTATGATGAAGAAATACGAAATGTTAGCTCTATCCTCTGTCCTGAACTCTAGCTTCCTACTTCAAAAGCTCTTTGGACAGTTCAAAAAGAATTTTCTGTCATGATCTCAAATATAATTTACCTCAATATGAATTAGTTGTCTTTCCCTTGGACATTGGCTAATGCCATAATTTTGTTGTCATTCAAGCTTGCTATTTCATCTGTCTCTTCCCTTTCCAATCTAACTAGTTATCAGATTTTCTTGATTCATTTTAATAACTATCTCTTATTTTGCTTTTTACCTGTTTCTTCCACAGCTCAAAATACACCTAACTTATATTTAAAAACATAAGTCTTGGTATTTGATACTAATAAGTCTTCTTAAAATGGAATTTGGGAACATAATCATTTATCAGTTTTGAAGTCTTTATTTCCTATTGCCTATAGGAGTAAATCTTAAACAGCAGCATATATACAGAAGGAAGAATTTTCAATGAATTTTGTCTACTGATTTAACTCAGTGCCCGAAAGAGTTCTTGGCACATAGTAGGAAACAAGATAAATATTTATTGGATGAATGAATAAAGCTTTATCTTGGCATTCATGGACTTCCACAGATTGCTCTCAACCTCTCTTCCAGTTCACAAACCTCTAAACTAGTTTGATGAATCTGCTCTTTTGCCCTCAAATATAACTCACATGTCTTCTTCTTGGACCATATCTCCTGTTTTTCTGAGGATGCTCTTTTTCTCATGTCCAACTTTGTAAATCCTCTTTACTTTTCATACCATACTGAATTCTAAAGTCTCTTGTTCATCTGTTTTGATCAATTTGATCTATGCTAATCGCCATCATCATCTATGTCTTTTTTATTAAATGCATTTTATGGGTGCATTATAATTATACATAGTAGCAAGATAATTATGCTATCTTCATACATGCACATAATTTTTAAAATTTATTTTTTAGTTATATACAGCACCAGGTACACCCTGACATTATCACAAAAGCATGGAATACAACCTGCTCCTTACATTGCTCGTCTTTTTCTGGGCAAATACCTCTTCTCCCCAAATAAATGTCCTCTGTCTGGTGGTATGTGTGCCCTTTGGCATCTCTATATCATAAGGGTTTCATTAACTCTAACTAGCAGATATTATCTTATACTTGAATAACCTGAGATACATTTTAATAATCACCTCTTTTATATAGTATTCCATTTCTCAGAATCAATACTGTGATTAGAGAAAAATATTTTTGAACCTTAAGTAACTTATAGGGGGTGGAGATACAGTTTGGATGAGTTACTTTAAATCTCCTAAATTCTCATCTGTTGTTCTTTCCATCCAGCCAAGTTAGTCGGACTAGTACACAAGAAGAAAAACAAATTGAGGAGAAATTTTTATAGTGGCAAGACCTAGGAGGTACTGCTGTAATTAAGTGATCCAAGTTAACAGCACTAGTAGCAAGACATCAACATCAGGTACACCCAAGATAATGTCCTGAAAAGGGTATAACATCACTTCAGTGATATGTATACTCCAAATACATAAACTGAATGCAATACGTGATTATATCATAAATACAAATTGAGGAACCATCTACAAAATGCCTTGTGCCCTTCAAAAGCCAAAGTCATGGGCTGGGATTGTGACTCAGTGGTAGAGCATCCCCCTAGCACTGGCGGGACCCAGGTTAGATCCTCAGCACCACATAAAAATAAAGGCATTGTGTTTTATCCATCTACACCTAAAAAAATAAATATTAAAAAAAAGGTTGGGAGTATTGCTCAGTGGTTAAGCCCACTGAGTTCAATCCCTGGTATGTATGTATGTATGTACGTATGTATGTATAAATAAATAAAGCAAGCAGGCAAGCAACAAACTTGTTTTTTAAAAAAAGTCAGTCATGAAAAGACAAAAGAAAACAGGACTATCCCAGTTGGGAGGAGACTGAGGAGAAATAACAATTTAATTAATCATTGTGCTAAATAATTAACTAGAGTGTAGGATCCTGGGCCAAAGGACATTCCTGTAAAAACTGACAACATTTGAATAAGATCTATAAATAGTTACTAGTATTGTACTGGTGTGAACTGCCTTGAGTATGATCATCCTTGTTTGATTATATAGGATGTTAATTAGCATAGGCTGGGTAAAGGGTATACAGGAACTCTATACTATTTTTACAACTTTTTAAATGTAAACTTACTTCAAGACAAAAAGTTGAAAAATTGAGGGAGGAGAAGATAAATTCTATAGTTTTGGAGTGAAAATATTAACAAACTTTAGAATCACATCAATCATTTTCATTCATCAATATGGTCACTTATTTTCATAGTATGTTTGTAATCTGGGAACTCTTTTTGTATATGGGAGGGCTATTGTGTACACACACAGGATAACAAGAAAGACAGAGGAATGATACTAATATACAGCAGTCACACATTCAACAGAGGCACCACATCATATTTTAGGTGCTAAAAATATAACAAAGAGTAAAGGAATAGATACCAGATCTCTTGCAGTTTCCAGTCTTGTTCATAAGGAAGATAAAATTAGAGCTTTCAGGGTTTTGTGTTTGTTTGTTTTGGGAAAAATTAGAAGGTGAACTTTTCAATATGATAGAGATAGAGACTTGTGTTAAAAAATTGTGACAAAAATTGGAGAAGTTATTCAAATGGGTAAGACTGTATGTTAGCATGCTCTTGCATGACTGCAGAGCTTTAAGCTACACCTACAGAAGCCTGTAAAAGGTAGGGAGAAGGTGGAAAGGTGGCTTGCAAGAGAGAAAAGTCATTAGAAGTAGTGGAACAGACTTAAAGGAAAGAGTCAAAGGGAAGGAAGGTAGCTGTGAGACCATTACAATTAGGTAAAAAGACGCCTGCAAAGAAAGCAAGGTCAGTGAGGACTCCGCTGAACTAAGAAGGATTTCAGAAGATGAGTGAAGATTGTAAGAAGACTAGAGATGGTAGAGGTTCAAGAGCAAAACATGAAATCGGGATTGCAGTGAATGGGAATGGTACACGGACACTGCAAGGAAGGAAGGAGCCTAGTCACTTGTAAGTGGGAAGGGAGAACGTGCGGGCGGTGCCCAGGGGGCGGCTTGCGCGCCCAGGGTGCGGCAGGCCCTGCCAGACCCCGCAGGACTGGCTGACAGGGGCGCTGGAGCCCGGCGCTGGGTGGGGGAAGGTTGCGGGACAGAGGGGGAGGTGTGCGCTGTGTTTGGTGATGTCATTGCAAGTCAGAGAGCGGTGAAATTTAACACCAGCCGGATTTGCCTGGTTCCTCTTCTTCCAGGCGAAGCAGCCGGCGGCAGTCAACGCCGAGCGCCTGCAGTTGCCACCGGCCCCCTCGCACCGACTTGATTTCCGAAGTGGGTGTGTGTGCTTGTTTGACAAATGTTGGGCGCGGGCTGTTTCCAAGGACTTCCCCCCACCCCCACCCCTCATCTCCTTTCCTCCCCCTCCTCTTTCTCCTCCCAGGCCCAAAGCAGAGGACTCCACTGGAGTCACAGAGTCGCCTTTGAACCGCAAGTGAACTCGAGGGCTGCACTCGCAGCTGAACTCCTGCTGCGGCCGGCGCCCCGCTGCCTCCCTGTTGAAGTCTCCCTCCTCGCCTGCCCTCCCAGGGGAACACAACCCTGGCCCGTCCCACACTGAGCTAGGCAGCAGGAAGCCTATCTGTCCTCCCCCTTCGGGTGCTATTTCCTACCCCCACACCACCTCATCTCCTCTCTTTCTTTTTTCCCCCTCGTTGCCGGTTAGGAGCATGGTTTTCACGTGATTTCCCCCCCTTTTTCATGGACAGTACCTGCACCCTTAGCAGTTCGGAGTTGGCTTCTGTTTTCCGTTAGCGTTTTGCTGCACGGACAAATGCATACAAATGCATTTAGGAGCCCACAGGACAAGGCGTGGAAAAGTCTCCCCCACCGCAAAAACGTAAGTAGCCCACCCGACCGGGTAGGGGTTAGACCAACCCTTCACTCCACCCCCCTGGATCTACCACGAGGGCTGGAGATCTGTGGCCCCAATCCTTGGCACTTTCTGGCACTGGGAGCGGGCGGCGAGCAGCCGTGGCATCCTCCCCTTGTCTTCTCAATTTGTAAAATACCGTGTTTGAAAGGAAGCCTCGTGCCAGCGGGGCTCAGGCAGTTTATGCTTAAAGTTATCCTGTGGCTCGGGAGGAAAAACTAACTGGCACGCGTCCCGACGTCTTCTTCCACTTCTCCCACCGCTCAGAGCTGGGCTCCGACGCCCGCCTGGGCTCTTGCTTCCACCGCCCTCTCCCTCCTCCCCTTCCCCTCCCTCAGGGCCCTGGCTGAAGTCCGCGGTGCTTCTCAGGGTGTCCAGGTTGGCATTGCTAGGACACCAGCAGTCCCCTGAGCTCGATGCACGCAGCCTGGACCACTGGGCCGAGCGCCTGCAGTTGCGTGGTAGGGTTACCAGGTGGAGGTGTGGGGGGTGTGCCTGCAGAATCTTGGGCATCCGGACGCTGTTCTTCCCATGGGTTCAAAGGCAATCGCCTCTAGTTAGAAGGCCAACAAAAGTGCTACCCATTTGGAGCTGAGGCTGTGCCCTGATCATTGGCCTGTCAGTGGGGAAGTGCTTCTCGCCGGGACCAGGGGGGTGGGCAGGACGCGGGGGCGGAGCTGATCTTACCAGGGAGGGTTTGGGCGGGTCCCGCATCCTCTTTGGGCTCAGTACCTGTTAACACCCCCTCACTGGGAAACGAGGGAGGATGGGGTTATTCGGTCTTTTGACTGCCCTGCTCCCTGGAGGAGGGCAATGGGTTACACACATTTGCTTCTGGCCTCCGGGAGCAAAAGGCACGAACACAGCTGTGATGATTTTCTGTGGAGAGATTGCCCCTCGGGAGAGTAGGTGGGAGAACAGGGGGCAGAACAGTCAGCTGAGGGCAGGCGGAGGCGGGGTGTGGAGAAAGACCGCCTTGTGGCAGTGTTTGTATGCACATGTGCTTCCCAGCCGCGTGCAGCCCAGCCTGGCTAGGGCTTGCGAGCTTTTCTGCTAAGATCCTTGGAAGCTTCCCTGATGCTGACTAAGAGGCACCTTCCTGCGCACCCCCATCTGGAGGAAACAGAGGAAAGCTCGCAACTTTTGAAACACTAGGTGTGCGGAGCAGTGCTGGGGGCCTGGGAGACCCGGGTGCCAGAAGCTCAGCGGGCCCTCTTTCCAGAGAGGCTCACACAGGCTGCTTGGAATTCCTAGGCAGAAGAACTACTTTTCTAGATAAACGTCGCTCGGTGTGGACAGTCTGGGAGAGGGAGACAGGAATAGAGATGAGAAGGATGCTCAGCTCATCCTGAGATTCTGGGCACATCTTTCCGCGGATCCCTAGCGGATACAAAGAGGCTAGAAGGCTCAGCCACCAGGAAAAGCTGGTATGGCCCTTCACCTCCTATCCAGCAGCAGCTTCCACGTGGTTCTCCCACTGACCTCTCCAGTGGTGAGGGCTTTCCCTGTTCCTCTGCTTCAGGCCCACGTTGCTGACTAAAACTCCCTTTGGTAGTTGTGACAGACTTCATGGATTACAGCAGATCTTCTGCTCCTGGCCTCTGTCTTGTCTGGTTTACACTTCCCTTCCAGACACTCCCAGAAAAGGCCCTGCATAAATTCTTGGGCAGTTTGGGGTTTTAAATTGGGTCCAGATGATTGAGGAGTGGTGGTGGGGGGGTAGCGGGAAGTAGAGAAACCAAAGAATGGATACTACTGGAGGAGCCTCTGAGGAAAAATTACACCACGTGGATGGGAAAAGAACTTGTGGAGTAGTGTCAGCATGGGTAGCAGCTCCTGGGCAAAGGTGCTGGTTTCACTGATTTCTTGGAAGATCTTCTGGCCAGGGTCTTGCAACTCTTGGATATCTGCTGACATCCAACTTGTTCCATTATAGGAGCCAGTGGGGATGGGCTGCAGAGAATTAAGGGCAATTCAAAACGACATCAGATTTCAGAACCTCACAGCTGCAACCACACACATGCAAAGCATGGAGAGGGTAGTTAATGGTTGGACCAAGAGATTGTTTCTAAAGGAAAAAAAATCCCATTTTCATACAGAATTTGGAGTTCTTGAATTTGAAAAAAGGCCACCAATCCTTGGAAAAGGAGGAGGGACTTGGTAGAAGCAGCTGATTAGCTGATGATAATGTTAGGCCACTGAATTAAACCCTGGAGTCCCTAATGAAACCCCTGAGGTTTTCATTTTCCACCATCTTTTTGTGGTGACATTTTGGAAAAGCAGGAGCAGCTTTTTAAAATCATAGTTCTGATTAGTCACCCAAAAACATTTATAGTTTTAAAACTGGATCCTTTCAGACATTTTCTTTCACAGGGCTGCTTTTAGATGTGATTTTGTGGAATTAATAAAAGAAAGCTAAAACCTCAAAGTGTTTGATATACTGATTTAACATATTAAATCTTCCAGGCAGACTATTAGGGTAATTAAGGGTTTCTACATCCAAAAAGGAAAAAAAATAGCAAAAAATGTTTGATTGTAAAGGTCTTGCAATTTGGCATTAAATTCTATTTTTTAAAGTTGCTTAGAAGGACTCAAGTGTAAGTAGTTCTTAAAATTTTACAGGATTCCAGTGTGTAGCCAATATCAAGGAGAGAAAATATAATTTATGGAAAGTAAGTTTGAGTGTTATTTAGACATTCTGCTTGGTAATCTGAAGTTGCAAGAGAAAAATAAATTTTATTAGAGGAATTAGAATAGCTGTGCTAGTTTCCTTGCATGACTTGCAACTATGACTTATTTCAGAAATTGTAACTCTGAGAGCTGAAATAAGGACCATTTCATTTTCATTCTTTTAAAAGCCTAACATAATTCTCATTTATTCATTCAACAAATGTTTATTGAGCTCGAATGATGTTCCCAGTATAATTGTAAGCAATAGGGATATAATGATTGAGCAAGATAGTGACATAATTGCTGCCTTCCCAATGTGCCTAGTCTAATACAGGTCATAGTAAATGAAACAACCAAGTATAACAAATGAGATAAGGGTATATACTGGGTTGTTATCTAACAGTCCTGGCAGGTATGAAGGGCTGGAAGGATAATGATGGAAGAAAAGTGAACCAAAGGAAACAAAGTCTAGACTGAAACCTAATTAGAAAGGACATGGAATTTTCCAAACAGGTTCTGGAACATTAAAAGGCTCATTGGTGAGAGGACAGTGCACTTGAGGGCCTGAAAGAAATAAACTTGGTTAAAGCATACATCTAGGGAAGAAGTGGCTTAACCTGGGACTGCAGAAAGAGACCAGAGAGCAAAAGGTCTTTAAATTACGAACTTTCTTAGCTAAACAAATAGATGGTAGAAGAACTGGCTTTTCTTGATCCTAGGATTAATATGCAGATGTTAGAGAAGTTATATATTTGTCAAGACTCAAGACCACATGATAGTATTGATTGAAGGTTGATTGTTTCTCTCATTCATATAATTTTTTTTTAAATATAACACTAGCATCTGCCGGAAACTTTGCTAGAATAGGCAAGAATCAGTTTAACACTCTCTGTGGTGTTACTACAACAGACTAGTTGTATTTTTCTTCCCTCCTATTGAGTGGACTCTAGGCTCTATGATTACTTGAAGTCCTTAATCATTTATCTTCTTTATACTTCATGAATTCCTTAAACACTTGGAATTTAACCAAAAGCTCTATTATGCTTCACACAGGATTAGTTATGTAAGTACTACCTATTGAGTTGAACTGATAGTCTGAGAAATTCATTGTGTATAATGTTAGTGACAAGGCTTAAAATCCTGAATCATTCAAGTTTATCCCTATTGCTATGATGAGAACTTTCTTCCTGGTTATATTGGGAACTGGATCTTAGCTATTAGTAAAAACCAGAGTCTGTAAAGATGTCACAGATTTGAAAAGTTTTTGGCATGTAAAACCTAGTGTGGTAGAAATTGTTGAAATTACCATTGCATGTCACATATGTACATTTCTCAGATTAGTTCACCCTTTTCAATTGATTTAAAACCATCAATTCATTAAAAAAAGTTCTCTAGGACTAGGGTTGTGACTCAGTGGTAGAGTGCTTGCATAGGATGTGTGAGGCATTGGGTTTGATTTTCAGCACAGCACATAAATAAATAAATAAATAGATAAATAAAATAAAGGTTCAAGTACAACTAAAAGTTTAAAAGTTCTTTAAAAGTTCCCTATACACAAGATTTTACAAGTCCTTCTTCTTATTATAAATTGAATCTATATAGGAACGAGTATCTGTAGTCTACTCATAATTCTTAAGAATCTCATGGGTACCCTAAACCAGAAGATACTTGGCATTCCTCTAAAGTAACTGGGACCCTTTGGATAAAAAGAAAATTGAATAGCTCTTTGAGAGTCATCTAGGGAAGATGCTTGGGAGTGATATTTTGTCACTTTAATGTTTTAAGTGTGATATCTATATATCTATATGTCTATATATCCCTGCCTGATCTCCTTTAGGCCTTTACCATTATTTTTCTGGTTATGTTTGGAAAGTGGCTGATATCAAACTGAAAATGTGGCTAGCAGTCAGATGATGCAAAGTGTTTCATATTTTGTTAGGTATCCTCAGATATCAATATCATCGCTTATATTTTTTGAAACTTAAAGATTTATTACCATATTGCTGACTTCTTTTAGACTTGTCCCATCTTGTTCAATGTCCAAGTATTTTTATATCTGTTATGTACAGAAGTCATTTCAATTTTGTGCAATGGTCTTCAACCTTGTCTATACATGAGAATCATTCAATATTTAAAATGAGTGTACCATAGACATATTAAAACTAATATCTCTGTGAAGGGGAGAGAAGGACTCAAGTATAAGTAGTTCTTAAAATTTTATAGGATTCCAGTGTGCAGCCAATGTCAAAATAAAGGTCCAAAACAGGGGAGCCTTTTATCATCTCTTAAATTTATCATCTTCAGAATGTGGCTCTCCAAACAGCAGCAGCAGCATCACCTAGGAACTTGTTATAAATGCAGACTCTTGAGCCTCACCAAAACCTACTAAGCCAGAAACTCTGGGGCCAAGGTCCAGCAATTTTTGAAAGTTCTTGAGGTGATTCTGATGTACAAGTATGAAAACCGCTATTCTAATACAGTAGAAAAGGATTTGAAAGGATCAAATAATATTTGTGTCATGTCATAAAATCAGATATATGTGATCTGAGCAAACTAATGTATATTTAAATGTATTCTAATTGGAAAATAAACAGTTAATGTTCCAAATTTTTGTTACATAATCTGTAACAAAAGATTGTTAGAATCTGTAGAATCATGTAGTTAGAATATATGCATCCTAAAGATTCACCCCCAACTTTTGAGTCAACTATTTTCATCAGGGCAGAATCTGCATTTCTCCCAAGCACCTCAGGTGGACTAACATTTGGGAACTATTGGTTTAGATGGAATGCTACCATATGTGGGATTCTTTAAGATATAGAGTCTAACTATTTGCCCATATCAGTTGAAATTTCTGTAATGATTCAATTGATTAATTTATAGAGTTAGTGATAGCTGTTGAATGCTCTTTCAAAATTTCGACTTATATGTTCACTTTAAAATACAAAAATGGAAAGTACCATTTTAATACAAATGAAATTGTGTTCTATAGTCTAAAGAATATAATTTATATTGTTAGCTAAACGTTTAAAAAGATTATCTTTCTTACAGTAAGATAAAGGCATACGCTTATACTAATTGACAAAGATAAAAACTTTATTGACAATAAGCAGAAAATACCCCAGACCTTAATACAAAAGACATACAATTTCCCTGGGACTCTGCAATTGATTCTTGAAGACTAACATTACACAAATGTCATTTGAAGAGTCATTGAATTAGAATACAAGAAATAATCAAGGTCCATATTAGCAAGACTTAGTTAATGAAGTATTGTTTTCAGCATGCTTATCATCATTTCCCAAAATTATCTCTGTGGTTTTTATTTGGGAGGTAGATTTGGGCAGTTGTGAAGAATATTCAACAAAATCTATCCAAAGTTTTATTATACTAAAAAATCACAAAGCATTTTTTGCTTAAATAGCTAATCAATATGAATAAACATTTTTATTTGTAGTAATTGGTGGATATTCCACTCACGATTACTCATCAAAATGCTCAACATTGACATATATAGGCAATTGCTATTTTCAAAACCAAAGAACCAAGAATTAAATGATATTCAAATGTTTTTCACATCTGAACAATCTTTTATACAGATAAATAGCTCTTTCCATCAACTTACAATCATGATGGTTAAGTGACTATAATTTGTATTATTTAGTGTAAATTTCTGTTTCTTTGTATGAAATTACATGTACAGTAATTTGACATGTTAACAATAACAATCATGTCACCTTACTAATTCACATTCATTCAGTACTTTGTACGGGGGCCAGGTACTGTTTTATGTGCTTTTCATGAACTTTTTCAATTAGTCATTTTTTTTCCTAACTTTTTTTTTGTAGATGGACAGAATGCCTTTATGTATTCGATGCTGAGAATCGAATCCAGTGCCTCATGCATGCTACTCTGCCGCTGAGCTAAAGCCCCAGCCCTCAACTAGTTCTTTTAATAAACCTTATGAATTAGGTTTAACATATGAAAAATCTAAGGCATAGAATGATAAAAAAAATGTTCCCAAGTTACATAATAAATGGTAAAACTGCAATTTGAATTCAGAGAATTTACTCTTAACCATGCTAATTAAAATAACAGTTTAATTATTAATCTTTCATTAGAGTTCATTTTGGATTTTATATGGTTTATAAGTTGTAGATGTCCAACAATTGTTTTTTCCATTTTCATAGGAAACTACTTCTTCATTTTATTGGGCTATGTGTAGCTTGGATTACTGTTCATGCTCACGAACAAGGTAAGAAAATTGCCCTATTAATTATTTGTTTGCAAAAATTTTGCTTCCAGACAGCAAAAGCACATGACTTTTAAGTTATCATAACCTTAAGGTCAATATTAAACAATAAAAATGTCTTTGCCCAGTATAATGAGAATGTAAGGGTAAAGAAATCAATTTTGGGGAGAAATATGACCTTTAAGAAATTACTCAGACCTTCCATCTGTGAAATTGCTTACATTTTTAAGCAAACTCCATAAAAGAGAAGTTTTGTACAGTAAAAAGGCTTTGCTTGTGACTTCATTTTAAGTGGGAGTTCTTGGGGGTGGCAAACTGTGACTGAATTACCTTTGCACTTCTTGAAACAACACAAGCATATAATAAATGTTCCCTCTAGATTAGCATCATTAAGAAACAATGAAATTTACATATTAGTGGGCTTAGAGTTTTATTTAACTCAAATGGAGATTTACAAAATAGTTTTGTGTTTTGTTTTGTTTTTGCCTGCTAGCTTGTTGCTCTGGTAAAATGATGACAGGGCTTCAGGAGTTTATGTATGTCCTAATTCATTCACTTATTAAACAACTTTTGAAATATCTTTTTTCTGATTAAAAACTTAATTTCTAATAATTGAAATATAAATATAATAACATATCTGGTCTCAAAGTGAAAAAAGTGGCTTTGTTAAAGGTTAAAAAAATAGCAAAGTCAAAGAAAAATTCCTGAACTATGCTGGACTTAAATATTATCATTGTGGTCCTAATAAATTTTTTTTTGTTTGCCTTATATGTAGTAAGGTTATATGTGACTGCTAAATTATTCATTCTGAGAGAATTAAATGATAACTCAATGAACCATGTGTCAGTTTGGTCAAGTAATAACCTGAAAAGCTAAATTATAAATGAACTATGTGAAGTGAAAAGGGAAGAATGGAATTTTACCTTATTTACCAATTGATAAGTGGACAGATAAGAAAAGTATGGTCAGCCCACTATATCTATAGATTCCACTAAAGATTAAAAATATTCTGAAAAATATTTCATCTGTATTGAACATGTACAGATATTTTTCTTTGTCGTTATTACCTAAATGATATAGTATAATTACTTGCATAGCATTTACATTGTATTGTATCATGAATTGTAAGTAATCTAGAGGTTACTTATCATGGACAGAAGGATGTGTATGAGTTACATACAAATACTACATTCTACATAGGAACTTGAGTCCCTGCAGATTTTGGTATCCACAGGGGTCTGGAAAATCAACCCCAAAGATACTGAGGAGCAACTGTATCCTCTCAAATATCATGTAGATGAATGAAAGTATTTCTTGAAAAGCATTTTCTAATTCACTTTTATGGGGAAATGGTTAAATTAGGCCATATGTCATATGTAACCTCGTGAAATGCCATTCTTGACCAATGTATTTCTGTTACCTTATTTTGCTTTACTTGGAAATGAAGAAAAAAAACTACATCCTTTAATTTATTATCATTATTAGTATTACTATTTCTTATTATATACCACTTTACTAGTAGAATATACATTTTCTTCATCACTTGCTTTATCACAGAATTTTAATAATTATGCCTATGATAGAATTGCTGAAACCAAGATAAAAGAGACTTAGGCCACTACAGCAAGGGTCATACTTCATAAATGGAAGAGCCAAGATTTGAACTCAGGCAGTTTGACTACAAAATCTTAAATTCTTTAATACTACATTCCTTGGAGTCACAGAGAAGAGAATAGCCATTATTAATTCTATATACATTTTGTGTCATGTCCTTTTCTAGTACTTTATATGTATTATTCTTATCTTCATAATGAACCTACAAAGTTCATTATAGATGAACAATTGAGGATCCAAAATGTGGCTTACCCAGGCTTAAACAGTAGACTTGAATCTAGGTCTCACCACCTCTCAGGAGAAAACTCCTGTCTTAAATATCCCTTGCTTCAAAATTCTCATTCACTGGCATTATGAGTTTAATAATTTACAAAACATATCCTTATCAAAATATTAGAAACTCAGATGAAGAAAGACATAAGAAAACTGAATGTTTCTGAATAGTATATTTTATTTATATAATAAAATGTATTCTTTTATTTTAGGAGAGACATAATAATTTTCAGTCTTATTATAATGACAAAATTTTTTTCCAGTTCTTAACAAAAAGAAAATCATTTTGAAAAAAAACTTTTTGAAAAGAATACTTTTGAGTACAAAAAACAAATGGAAATAGTATGTTATCAGAAACCTAGAAGTACTTTTATCCTAAAATATTTTTTATTAAATTAGCATGATACAGTGTAGCATCTAATCAGAATATGAGAAGAAACATTATCAGAGAAATTGTGTTTTTATGCTGATAACAAATATCATTTGTGACCTTAATATTGTTATATATGTATTTTAGCTAATGCTTATTTTCAGTTAGACTTCTCAGAAACATTTATGTGGTTACAAGGTTTTTCAAATCTTAAAAAGTATCAAAGTAATTCAGTTATATAATTTAAAATTCAAATCAAACAATAAAACATATGAACAAAAACTAGAATCTTTTGCCTTAACCTGTTTCTGCGACCCTCTGCCCCAAATCTTTAGGTTTTAATCTTCTTAACAGTATCTACATTTTTATTGAATTCCTATTATTGATGATGAACATTTGACATTTTTATACTATCCTATGCTCCTTTTTCCTCTCCTCCTATCATCTCAATATAATTCTATTAATGTTTTTTATTAAATTACTATTTATAATTTACCTTATTATGACTATGTACGTATTTTTGTCACTGAGTCCTGTATGTTTATATTTTCTTTCCTGTACAATATTGCAAGATGGCTCCTTTTTTGCTCATATTGTGTTCGTCATTATTAATAATTTTCTCAGATTCTACAAAAAAATTCTAAAACTTCTTTGAAAAATATTTTTTCCCCAAAATGTACAACTCCAACAATTTGAATTTTTCCTTGGAGATTTTCCTTCTGGAGCTAAAATTCTCCTGTTCTACTGTGGACTATTAGTTCTGTACACTTTCTATAGAGTTGATATTTCTTGCTCATGTAAGAACCACTTTCTTGGAACTCGTATCTTCATTTTTCACAATCTATTTCCTTATTTGGTTGTATTATATTCTCCAGTTGTAGCCTGTGAATATATATTTAGGTGGTTCAGATTTGCAATGATGCATTTCTGAGAATGTTTATTTCATCATTATACTTAAGGGTAGTTAAGGTGAATACAAAATTTTAGGCTGTAAATACTTATTCTCAGAACTTGAAAGGCTTTCATTTTTTAGCTTGCAGATCTGTTGTTAAGAAAATTGATGCTATGTTAATTCTTGATTCTTTATGCATGACTTTTTAAAAGTCCTTTAAGATCATCTATTTATCTCTGATGTTTTGAAATTTCACAATAAAGTGCTTTGTTACATACAATTTCTTTTAATTCATTGTATTGGTACTCAATAAGCCTTTTTAATGTAGAAAGTTAGCCTTCATTTTTTGGGGAATTTTTCTGTTATTTTTTTTCTTTCTGATACATTTATTTTTTCTTTCTATAATTTCTGTTATATTTTGCATTTTTGAATCGAACTCCTTATTTTTTTCACCTTACAATCACATTTCTCACCTTTATGGTTCTATTTTACATGAGATTTTTATTATTTACTATTCTAATGATTTTCACTTTTTAATTTTTGCTATTTAAAATGTTTTAATAGCTAGATTACTCCGTCTTCTTTTTAAAAATTGTATCCTTTTTTTGTTTCTTAGATGCAATACCAATTCTTACCTCTCTAAGGATAGGAATCATACTTTTGAATTTTTCTTCTGTTACCTGAACTCTGTGTCTTCCAAACTTTTTGTTTGTTTTGATTTTTTTATGTTGCGGAAATTCTTTATAAGTCTGAAGTACCTCTGATATCATTTAAAAGCAAGATACTAAAAATAGGCTTGGAAACTATTTGCATGGGTAGACTTGTCACCAGAGATATTTCATATACAGGATGACTGAGTAGGAACCTGGCTGACCATCTAGTTGAACCACAAATGTCTGAGGCTATAGAATTGCTTTAAAGAAGGATCCTCCAATATCTTACTTATAGAATAAAATCCTAATTGCCACTTTTATTGGAGTGATATAAAAAAGTTCTTGTTTAGGGGGCTGTCTCTCAATTTAGTATGTACATTTTAGCTGAATCCTTAATTCTCATTATGATATTTCTCTTCCAATTTCTGCTATAATTGGTTAAATATTTCAAGGTTTCTACATAATTAACTTTCAACCTCCTATTATGGTCTCAAAGTTTCTTTTTCTTTTTTTTTTCTTTTTGGTACCAGTGATCCAACCCAGAGGCACTTGACAACTGAGCTACATCCCCAGCCATTTTTATTTTGAGGCAGGGTCTTTCTAAGTTTCTTAAGGTCTCACTAATTTCTAAGTTGCTAAGGCTGTCTTTGAACTTGAGATTTTCCTGACTCAGCTCTGGAGTCATTGGGATCACAGGCATGCATCCGTTACCTGGCTCAAAGTTTTTTATACAAACTTCAGCCCCTACTTCCACCTACTCCCCAATATGAAATCCCTTGTCTCTCTCTGACTGAAAAGAAACAAACAGCTATGTGATTGTTATGATTTTAGTTATTCCTTTAAATTTTAATTCAGAAGTATCTTATTAATAGATACAAATTTTATGTTTGTCATATAACAAAGTTTTAGGCATAGGCTAGTGAATAAATGCTCATATTTCAAGAAAAAATAATTATATAAGGCTGAGTTTTCTGAGGATTTGACAGATACATATATCTTTTCTCATCTGATACAGCATACCTTCATTATTATTCTGACAACATTGGTGGGCTGGCTGCCAGTGAGATATTGGCATAGCTGCAACATCACTCCATGATGAATGACACTATGCAAAATGCGTAACTAATTCTTACCATTCTCAGGTTCATGATCCCAAAGTGTGAAAACCACATGTGTAAGGATCTATGTGTAGAATACTTAT